AACGTTTCAAATAAAGAACCGATGAGATTTTGCAAATTTTATGCGAAGTTATCAAGCTCTTAAAAAATCACCCGTTACTAGGTTTACATATAAGTAGATTATCCTAATTTTCGAGCTTAAAAGCTGTGACAGACGGCAAAGCTTATGCATATAATCTGGCATACATATGCGCATAATAATTTTGACCTCACAGACGGCAGTTATGCGGATAAACGAGCCGCAAGGTCGTGGGTTCGAGTCCCACGGCCAATTAAATTTTTATTTTTTTTTTATTTTTTTTTTCATTCTTTTTTTATAAGTTCTATATTTTTTTTACGTTGCTTTCAGTTAGTTGTTGTTGACATTTTATTAAAATTCAACTCTAAAAATTTAAATTAACTGATAGTAAAATAAAAAAAGTGATATAAAATAAAGCAAATGAAAACAAAATAAAGTAACATTAAATATATAGATCAAATAAAATAAAAAATATATAAAATAAATAAAAACAAAAAAAAAATTTCGCGATCGCTCCAACCGAGGATCGAACCTGGCAGCTACAGGCTTGTATCCCGTAACTCTTACCACTCGGCTACTGCGGACGCGGAACACGTGCGCTTTGTTTGCTTACTTGTAGAAAAGACAACAGCTGACCAATGTTGTCAACGAAAAATGCCCGGATCCGAGTTAATTCCCAAAAATTTCGTGCATTTGTTCGGCTGCTTATGCGCATATTAAAGAGGAAAATGCATGAGTCAAAGCAAATAAAGGCTGGTTATGCAAATAATCGAGCCCGTTTGTCTACCGTATAACACCCTAATCTGTTACTACGATTATACGTAAGCTTTTTGCAAATAAAAATAATTTGCAAATACCTAACTCACTGTTAGCCTGATTATAAAACGACAATAATATGACCATCGAAAAAGAAAATAAAGTTAAAAATGGCAACGTCTTGATTATAAAAATGCAATAGGATGACCATCTAAAAAGAAAATAAACCTAGGAATGGCGGCGTCTTGCGCTTATTTGGAAATAGTACCACTAATAAATACTTATTTGCGTGATTTAGTTATTTGCAAATAAAAAATTAACTCAGCGTTTATACGGCAAAGGTTACCATTTTGCAAATTGTTATTTGCAAATAATACGTGCGTATAAACGGAGTATGTAATTAGAAATAGAGATTAGCCATACAAAATTCATCCCTTGTTAATCTGTAATTATAAAAAAATTTCGGTTTAACAGAGAACTTTTCGGTGTCCAACCTAGTTTTATCGATTATTTTTGCGTAGAGGAGGAGAAATGCCAAAGAGGTTTGTAATAACATATTCTGACCGACATCGAAAACATGTTTTCGTTGCTAAAACTGGTTTTCGACCTAAAACTTGTGTTTTCGTCCGTATCAAATCTGTCAAACGAAAACCAGTTTTCGCCAAAAAAAACTACTTGAAAACTCACGTTCCACTCATTCCAATCGGCGTCTTCACTATTTATTTTCGATTATCTATCGAAGCGGAAGTTATATTTTATCATCTTTAATACGCCATTTCAGATCGCTGAAGTGTGGCGAGTGAGTGTAGAAGGTTTGCAAGAGGAATTCGCGTCCATTTTGACATCAAGTTTCGTAAATGAATTCGCCGCACTTTTGGTTTCGCGGCGACAAAGAACATTGAGAAAAAGTGATTGATGATAGAAATAAAGAAATGAAATGACAAAAAACATGGCCGCAACTGTTTTTGTTTATTTGCCGAAGGCATTTAACAATTTGCATGTGCATTGGCATAGATTAATTTATTTCATAATTTTAAACAAATTACATAAGTAAATTAGTTGCATGCGCTATACACGACCTTTACAAACTTCCTGTTTAATATGGAAGTTGTAAAGTTGTAATTATGAATGAAATTACCCATAAAAATTACATTTATAATCAATTTACCCAATTTGTACAAATATACTCATGCGATTTCCCTCCAAACATTCTCATGCATTCAAATACGCGTACGTACATACATATGTATGTATGTAAAAGCGCATATGTGACTAAAACACAACAATAAAAATTTCACACATAGACGCATGCGCATATTTTTCAAGGTAAAACACATTCATTCATAAATTCAATGGTCATACATCTCCCCGCAAACGCTTTGTCCACAAGCGCAACTTCTTCGTGAGGGCCACAAAAATTCTAAAAT